AAAAATTTACCCACAAAAATGGTAAATCACCCACAAAAATAGTAATTTTTTTATACCAAAAAAAAGTGGTAAAAATAATTACTACAAAAGTGATAAATTTTTTATTTATAAAATAATTTAAAAAAATTATGAAAAATATTTTTTAAAATAATAAATTTTAAAGGTACGATATGGAATTTTTTTTTCACACCATAGTCAAGTCCATCTACTTATTAAAAAGTTGACTATTGCTTTTCATTCCTGCTTTTTAAAAAAATATTTAATTCATACTATAATTATATATTACTAAAGTGGGATCCACAACTGGGACCCATGAACAATTCCAAATGATTTGAATATTGTGACTAAAATTGTGGGAATTTCAAATGAAAGAATAAGTTGTCAATGACTCACTTTTCATATTAAGAGGATCTAAGGACGTGTCATTCATTTATTAATAAAATTATGTTGGCTTCAATTTGAAAACCTTATCTCTTGCGGGGTGTTTGGGTAGCTGGAGCGGATAGTATAGGTTATTTTTCTTTATATCTTAACCCATCAAATTAAACCCACTCAACCACTTTAAAATCCATGATTTTGCATATATTCAATCCTTCCCTTTATTTGGGAAATAAGGTGTAATTCAATGGGCCTCATAGGTTACATAAATAATTTGTAATAATTTATCATTCTACCCATAACTCTATATCTATTTCAATCCAAACCAATCATATCATATGTTTGGATTGATGAATTATCATAATAAAATTATATATTTTTCATATATATATATAAAATATATAAAAAAAAAATAAAATTTTAGGAAAGTTAATAAATTATTTTTCAAACAAATTAATATTTTATTTTATTTTTTAAAAATTAATTACAATGGGAGAACGACAAACAACCATTCCTTAAAACAATACGATAAAGCAACCAAAACAATGAAACCAATGCAAAAAAAACCAATGCAACAAGACCTACTTTTAACACAAACCAACAAATTTGCTCCAAATATGACTTATGCCGGCCACATTCACAACCTCCCAACACAGAGTCAACGAGTTCTTGATTGAGTTTGACTGAATCGGTATCCTGTAAATCCATCAAACCATATTGCTCCACTATTTTTTTTTTTATTTTTTTTGTTGAGCAACTTAAATGGTACGAGTAAATTTTATTGATTTTAAAAATAAATTACACCTAGCGAGAGGACGTATGTATCTTACCTCAACATGCATGTAAATATATTATTCGTAAAACAAAATAAATAAATAAAAATGCATGGAATTACATCATAATGAACAGTACTGTGTACAGTACCCATGAACAGTACTGAGAAAATTGACATGGACAGTAAAAATCCAGCTGAAGTAACTCGCAACCTGCTGCCAGAAACCCAGCTGAAATATAATACTGCTGAAAGAGATTCCAACTGAAAAAATCCAATAACAACATTCTGCTAAAAGAAATCCATCTGAGAATTCCAATTAGAAACAGTTCAGCTGGAGCTATAAGAATCTCAGGTAGAATAATTGCTGACATCTCTTCTCCTTAAAACCCGCAGCTGGAACCCCACAGCTGAATTGGACTGTTAATTTTCTGTGTTTGTGGGTCAAATAAATAGCCCAGGTGAGAAAGGTTACCTTCATCAGCCGGAAGAGTCTAGCTGATGAAGGTTCAGCTGCAATTCCGAAAGACTGCCTAATAAACCAGCTGGAGGAGGACTTTGCAGCAACGTGAACAGCTCCAGTTGCAACAGAAGGAAAATGCAAAGTAGCCCACTCCATTCAATACCAAGAAACTCCAGCTGAATCAGTCTAGCTGTAATCCATGCCAGTCGAAACAGCCTACTCCAGTCAAAGCAACCCAGTCCCATGAACAGTCAAACAAGCACAATAGAGGAGTCATCTCATCTGATTTAACACTTAAAATTCTTTCTCCTTAAAAATCGATACTGTCTTTGATCTTTTCTGAAGTAAAAACCGCGCCTCAGATGGCAACGAATCTGCAGAAGTTATCTCCGTATCCATATGATCTTCAACTCCTTTATTAGCAAGAAAATCAGCAACTGATTTTGCTCCAGTAGCTTAAAGTAGCTTGAAATTCTGAAATCTGGTGAGTGATAAAATCCCCCCACTAAGAAGTCTCCTCAAATCATCGACGTGTTATGGCAAAGGTCGACAATGTCTCATGAACAATGATCCTCCAACCACTAGGCATTTTCTATATACAATTCAGCCACAATTGAGAGCAAAAATAAACACAGCTGAATAGTATAAAAAGATTTCAAAATTATATGCACAATTACAAAAGGTCATATTCAAGTTAAGAAAGAACAGTTCCCCATCTCCCCCAATCCAGAAAATTAAATATAGGAAAGTAGTTTTTTCAAAAAAAAAATACTGAGCAATGCATTAAAGTAACCAAACCAATATGAACAGAGAATTCAATTCAAGCTGTGAAGTTAACAAGCTGTTTTAATTCAAAAAGACTCCAATATGATCAATTCTATACTAGTGTGATCATAATGCTATATATTGAAAAAGAAAATACCTGCAGCTTGAATCAAATTAGACCAGGATTGATAACCTATCAAGAAGCTTCAGAACAGCCCATTCGAGGAAGAAGAAGACTCAAGATTAAACTATTGTGAACTTCAATTCCCATAGCCATCAAATACGAACTTCAATTCTCATTAAGGCAATTCATCAAACATATTGTGAACAATTAAAATAAACTCATATCAAAAAATTCAAGAAACTTATTGAACCCAGTTGAAGAAACCAAATAGCACATAAAAACAAAACCAGCACAAAAGCACTTGAGATTCAACATAGAAACAAAATTTCAATGCATAAAAATTAAATACAAAATCAAAATGTTTGGTCTCAGCAAGTATCAGAGCTCTCAGAAAGTATCAGAGGAGGCAAGGCTTGTGCTTTGACTCAATTTGATGTAAATAAAAACAATACCTGAACGAGGAAATGGAAGGAAGGTTGTGTGGTTGTGTAGAACTGGAAGGAAGGCAGCTGAATGGCGAGTGGATTGCCTGAAGGAGAGAGAGACATAATAATAGAGATAGAGAGAGCGATGAGAAAGTTACCTGAAGAAGAAGCTGTGTTCTTCGTTCTGTCCAACAATGTCGTCTTCTTCGTTGACTCTGTGAAGAAGCTCTCACCCACAGATGCAGAAAATTGGAGGACCTCCCCAACGCCACAATCGTCTCCGCCTCTGTGCGAACCCTTGGAGGAGCTTAGCTGACACAGGAGAAAGAGAGAGAAGAGGGAGTCGCTGGACAGAACGTGAGAAAGATAAAGGGCAAATACGTCTTGAGAGGGGTAAGCTATTGGCTGGGTTTGTAACCCGGGGGGAGGCTGGGTTATGTATGACCGGTTTATGGGGGTTAACAATCCACTGTAGCACCGGGTCAAGCGATGACCCGGGATTTGTAGCCAATGTGAAAAATGATTTCCCAAACATGGGTTAAATGGTCCCACTCCTATTTTAACCTATCCAATCCAACTAGGAGATAACCCCTTTTATCCCACTACCCAAACACCCCCTTAAAGATTAGGGCTAGCTAGCTCATCACAAACCCTACTTCTCTCCTAATCATCTGTCTTTTCTATTATAAAGATGACCAATGTCATTTGAACAAAATATTGATTGAATTTGTTGACGTAATTCATCATCATTATTGAATTAACATAAAATTTTAATATTAATTAAGAGTCGCTATTAATTCAATAACTGTCATAAAATATGTCAATAAATTAAATCAACATTTTAGGTCTAATTAATAATATTATTTAAACATATTAATTTTAAAATTTTTTGGCTCAACTTGTTCATTTTTATTCATTTTTTATTAAAATTTTTAATTTTGCAATTATGCAAGCAATTTTAGTTATTAATTCAATATAATCTTTTAATTAAGGTGCCTCACTTTATTTTTTCATGCAACATTAATTAATTTTAGAGGTTATTTAAAGAGTGAAATATTTTCTAGGACTTTAATTTCTAAAATTTATTTGTCTAGTTTATTAGTATACAGGGTCTAGCATATCTTATGCAATTTCCATTAAAATTTATTTATTTTGGTTGTATATAATCCATTTTGGTTATTAATTCAATATAATTTTAATTAAGGTGCCTCACTCTTTTTTTATGTAACATTAATTAATTGTAGAGGTTAATTAAGAGTGAGATCTTTCTTAGGACTTAAATTTCTAAAATTAATTTGTCGAATTTATTAGTATAGGATTTATTTTGCATGTATATTTACAAAGGGTAGCAAATCTTATTCAAGTTCCATTAAAATTTATTTATTTTTGCCTGTATGTAATCCATTCTGGTTATTAATTTAGTATAATCTTAATTAAAGTACCTTATTCAATTATTTGAAATTTTATTTCAGAAGTCTATTAAGGAGTCAACTATTGAGCTTTTTCGTAGGAATTTTAATTTTTGATTAATTTTATTATTTCTTTACAATATGTATTTCATTATTGTTGTTAGTGCTCTATAATCTTAATTTCAATTTTATGAAACTTTAATTTCAGAAGTCTATTAAAGAGAGCTCTTGGATCTAGATATTCTCAATTACACATCATCAACCATGCATGAGTAACAAGTCAACATATAAATAGTGGGTCCCACTTATATACATTGTGGGTAATGTTTCATTGAGCGAAATTGTTTTTTTTATTTTTTATTTTTTTTGATCAAATCTTATTTAACAGTTGTTATTGAGAAAAGTACAATAATTTCGAGTCACTCTTTCCAAAACTATATTTAGAACATTAAATCTAAAGATTTTGTTTGACAACTCATGAAAGATTTTTCTGTTCATGGACATATATAAATACATGCTGTGCTTACTACCTCTGTTCATAACCCTATAGCCTCAGGCCATTTGTGTGCCCTCTGGTTCTCCATAAATCTTCAACACAAGAGCCAAAACAAACTCATTCTTTTTAGTTTGTGGGATTTCAAGGTTTTCTTCAATGGACTACTCTATGCTTGCTCCCAAGGTATATAGTTTTCTTATATTTCATATGTTACTAGTGTCATCATTTTATATTGTTCAAGATTCGTTTTTTTGATGCATATCAATCATGGTGAATCAAGTTTTCGATTCGATTTGACACGTGAAATGAGTAAATTATTATGATCATTAGAAACAAAAATCATTGAAAGTAATTTTTAACTGTGTTCTATAAGTTGTACTGTTATGTACTGTTTGTGTGATGTTTCATTTGAGCTTTTCAGAAAGAATTCATAATTGTAGATATTTCTTTATTCAATTTATGTTGTTTTCCAACCTTTTTTTCCTGAATCCTATCGATGTTTCTTAATTTTTTGTCTTTTTTTTTTTTAACTTTCTTGCATATAAACATATTGTCTGTATAATTTTTGAAAACAAAGATCTCTCTAAAGGTTCTGATATAGTTGTTTGTGATCTGTGTTGAATTTGTTTGTTTGTTGGCTTTCCTTTTCTTATCATTTAAAGCAACCTAACACAAGGGTAATGGTAATGGTAATTGTGAAGCATGGCAAAAGGCCAGAGATGCAAGCTACACCACCAGGACCAGATCATGGCCATCCTCGAGGATTCGGACCATGCATGGATGGCTATATAAATGGTCTAGACCGACTGTCACGCATTCGTAGGTTGGATAATATTGAACTAAGCCATCACACGAACTTGAGGTTCAACTTCAGGGACTACATGGGTGATTATGATGACTATTATTGCATGCATAGACCACCAACAGGGCCAAGGGGCATGCCTTCAGGGCCACCACCTCCACCACCACCACCACCAAGGCAAATAGCACCAGGGCCACCTCCCCCCCACTCATGTGGGTGCCCTGGGTGCAGGGAACCACCTCCACCTCCACCAGGGCCACCGCGAGAAGCTTGTTACTATCCACCTGAGCCTCCATATGGACCACCACCAGGTGGATACCCTCCCTGTGGCTTCTTCAATGATCAAAATCCTAATGGTTGCTCAGTGATGTGATCAGCTATAGCAACTTTAGGTTCTTCTGACTACAATGTGCATCTCCTTAGAAATATGACTTTCTCCAGATCAAACTATCATTTCCTTTCCAAGTATCAGTCTGTTTCTTTCCTTGTCTTCTTCTGCTATGTCCAGTTTACGCACTTTGTTATATTTTTGGAATTGAATAAAATGCTTGAAATTCTTTGAAATCTTGCTTGCAATCTAGCACACAAAACTTATAAAAGCAACATGGTGACTGTCAAAGCCAGTTATCATATTTTCATATGTGTATTTGACAGATCTTCATTCCGCTTACTACTTCGAATATCTGTGGGGTATGACAATTCTCATGTCATAAGTTTTAGTAATTAGACAGTGAGTTTGGTTTTTGGAATCTTCGTATTTACTTCAAAATGCAACTTATGAAGATTACAGGATATCATAACTTTCAAAGAACTTTTATAGTGTCACGATGTTTAGCAGAGGGATGTGCAGAATGCCGAGGCTGCAGTTAGCAGAATGTGTTAGCAACCAATCTCCATGGAAATACTACTGCCAATAGTCCCAATTCCCAAAGTATAATATTTGCAAGTCTAGTAGTATTCAATGTTTACACTGTGTTCTCATACTTGTGTTTTATTCAAGGATTTTTGTTTCATTTCATTGAAATGACTGAAATCCTTCGGTCTTCATGGAAACTGAAACAACCGAGTGCTTGAATATTGAAATTTCTATGTTCTAAGACGTTTCAATGTGTTTCTGTATCAGAAACAAAGTTTCAATTTTTTTTTCTCTTTTTTCATCTTGTTTCCAAAATGTTTCACTACACATTTCTGAAATGTTTCAGCTTCTGAGCTGATCAAAATTATGCACTGAAACAGAATTTTCATCCTTAATTTTATTCACCTTTTTTGGGTAAGAAGAAAAAGAGGCAATGAGTAACAAATAGAGTGGGGGCAAAGACAAGCAAATAGAATACTTGGGACATGGTTAAAGATTGTTATTAACACAGTAGAGTTCTGAACATGTTCAGAGTGCACCAAGGTTCTTAAGGCCAAGAACAACCCCAACCCCAATAATGTGACCTACACTCCCACATGCCAAGGTATCTGCAAGGGTAAAGCCCGCAGGGTCACCAGTCTGCAGGCCAGAGTCCCTCACTTCAAGCTTTAAACCGGCAGTGGCCTTCCTGTTTGCAGATGGAGCCAAACCGAACCTTCCAGCAAAGAGCATCAGGCTTGTAGAAACCACCATAATCTGTTCAAATAAAAAAAAAAAAATTATCACCCAGCTCAAGCAAGAATCAACAGAATCCGACGAATCCCTATAAAATAGAACACATGTCTATTCTAGATGTACCACTATGAATGGTTCTATTTGTATGTTTAAGTGGATACTCTACCAAGGTTGCAACTATCCAGTGCAAAAGAATTCAGTTCTTAAGAGTAAATACAATTTTTGAACTCTTCATATACCATTTATGAGTGTGGTTGAAAGCAAGATCTAATATGACATGAAAAATTCAGATCCCGGCTCAAGCAAGAATCAATAGAATCCCTATAAAATAGAACACGTGTCTCATCTAGATGTACCAGTATGAATGCTTCTATTTGTATGTTTAAGTGGATACTCTTCCGGAGTTGCAACTATCCAGTGCAAAGAATTCAGTTCTTGCAAGTAAATACAATTTCCGATCTCCTCATACACTATTTAAGTGTGCGGTTGAAAGCGATATCTAATATGACATGTGATGGCAAACTTTGATGCCCTTTTCCTATAGAATTTGTTCTTTCTAATATATACTGACACTCTCTGATAATGAAATAAAATTCACAACAAGATGCAATACAAAGCATAGTTGATAGCTTGCTCACCAAATTGGTAGGTGAGCCAATATAATCGCAGCGAGCACCCAAGGCTCCATTCCCTCTCTGCTTCATGGGCTGAACTGCTACCTGCATATTCAAAGATATGATTTAGTCAACGTGAAGATGTGTGGGTGTGTGTTTATGAGAGAGAGAGAGAGAGATGCTAGTGTCATACATTTTGAATCCAACTGGACAAGTAACATTATTAGCATTTACAAATTGCTAACCCTTTTGCACACTCCTTACATTTCTGGTTAATCATTTCAGATCTTTTAGATAAAAGAGTATTACATGATCCTCATTAATCCAAGCAAAATTCACATCTGAGCATGTGGTTAGGTTTCACCATTCAAATACTGTCAATGAGAAAATGGTTTAACTCGAATAAAGGGTTGTTCCATCATATAATCAAGACCATGAGTCTATATGGGCAATGTGGGGGGGATTGGACTCTTATGCAGTTTTGTTTCTTACCAAAAAAAAAAAAATGGGACTCTTGCAAGCAAAAAACACTTCAGCTTAGCATGTTTCTTGTTGATGTCTCACCAAATCCTATAGTGCAACAGGTTTAGAGGTTAAATGTTAAGTCTCTTGCTAGGAGATCAATAGCATAGCTAATTGCAGGAAATGTAAATGAATTAATTGCTGAAAAAAATTCACATGATTTAGCAAATCCAACACGATAACCGATTATTTTTACTTGTCTCTCACTTTGGTACACAAAGTTCATGGATAAAGGAGCATTTTAGTCCAATGTTTCGAAAATCTAGCAAATTACATGGACAAAGGTTAAATTTTTGTGTACAAATTAACTTATTCCGAGTCAGAAATCATCCAGCAAGTCGTTAAAGGCAATAAACAATTTAATCAGTATTAACACACTTCATGCATATAAATGATTCCTGGGGGAAAAAAAGAACAAGGAAAACACATTGCCCATAATCTCTTTAGTCCAAAATAGAAACCCCACACAGATCCATTACACCCAGTTCCAACAAATGAACAGAAAAGAAACACTAACCAAGCTTTGGACAGGGGAAACTGAGGCAGACATGGGTCTTAACCCACTGAACTGAGGGAGAGAAATCATCACTGCAGATGCCATTTTGCTGTTTTGAAAGTAAGTGATCAGAGAAGAGTAATGGGTTCTTACCTATATGATATTTGAATAATTTTGACTTTCACTTGGATTTAAAAGGGGAATGATGTATAAACAGGTTGGAGCAAAGCAGAGAGGCTTCCCATTACAGCCACATGAGAAGTTTGTGGCCTCAGAGTACCATTGTTGGATACACTTCGGATACTCCATCTGACATGGCACTTGCATATTGGGTCAAATCTTATATGGATAAGGTTTTCAAGGTCGTGAGAAAGTTTGTGATGGATTGGTGGAGATGTAGTAATTTGGGTCCTAGTGTAGATGTTTTTGGTCAGATGCTTGGACACAATATTACACCTAATAAATAAAAAGGTTTTTCGCACTTTGGATTTTAATATATTTATTTCGTACTCTTAAAAATTAAATTTTTTACATTGTACCATTAATATATCAAAAGTGCTGCAACGTGACCATTTAGTTAGTTTCTGTTATTTTTTTCATCAAAAGACAACTAATTGACAATGACGGTAAAATTAATGAAAAGTTACCAGAAAGATTCCATTGCAACAATTTTAATTGATTAAGGGTGCGATATAAAAAATTTAATCTTTAAAAATAAAAAATGAGAATCTTAAAAAATTTTAAGGTACAAAGTGTAATTTGCCCTAAATAAAAAATAAAGTTTGAGAATACCTCTCTTCCTCGACAAGTTTCAGCCAAATACTTTACTAGTAGTTAGCACTTAAAAGGGTGGTAATGTCGCGGAGAAATTCTTTCATCTTAAAATTGATTGATTATGGTATTGTAGAATTACTTTTATGGGCAATTTGATGAGAGATTAAAGTAGGACTTGTGTATCAATAATTGTGTTGTAATTATGTTGCTATGTATTGTGCACGTCCAAAGGAAGGAATTACAAAAGGAAAGAAACAAATGATATCACTTGAGATTCGAGAGAGAGATCTAGGCCTTGGGCATTAGGTTATAGCCCAACAAATGAAAACATGAATAGTTGTCACAAGCTTTAATTTTTTTTGTTATTTTTTTAGTTTAATGGTTAGATGTGTTCCGGCCAATTTATACGTCTTCTGATTAATTTTTTCTCCGATTTGGTCAAAATCAGACCATTCATGTCGGAACTAAAAAATTCATAAGAGATAAATCTTTCATGATCTAGCCTTAAAAGATTACCAAAATTCAAATTTAATACGTCTGTATTTACATTTTATTCCTGTTATCGCTTGAACTGCCTCTTAAAATTCGTCTTGCTTTTATTTCACACTTAGTGGACAAACATCCTATTCACATGGGGTGTGTTTGGGAAAAGGGATAAAGGGGGATAACCCCTAATTGGATTAGGTTACATTGTCCGGTGGCCCACAAATTCCTGGTTTGGATCCATTTTTTTGAATGGGATAATCGTTAGGTTGAAATCCTCGGCCTGTAGTCCTTTCTCCTATTTATCCCATCTGACCCACTTTGTTGAATTCCACCAAAACTTTGGGATTAGTTAGCCCAGCTACCGGATTGGGCTTGCAAATACTAAAATACCCTTGTACAGTAAGAAATGTAGGGTTTTTACCCTTTTTCTTTTTTGTCTTCGTCTTCTCATTGGTCCTCTCTTCCCGCAAGCGGCGCCCACTGGTCCCCATTGGAAGGTATATTTCTCTCTCTCTATGTGTGTGTGTATATATATATATGTATATATATCCCTGTGTCTTCTCTTTTCTTCCTCCAAAACTACAAATAAATGGAAAATAAAATCTAATTTACACTAAACCAAACTAAATCTACACAAAATCAGTACCATAGCCTCTTGCAACTTTATTTTATCTAGGGCTTGTAGGGGTCCTGTAAGAATGCGTAATCCCAAAGGCAAAATCGGTATCAACTTGCTTTGTTGGTCAAGATAAAGAAGAATAAAAATCTTGGAGGAGGCACCATGCCTTGTCCATCCTTTTGTCGTCCTCTTTACTTGGGTGTCTTCTTGCAAGAGCCTAGGTTCCAAGGTTTCCTTAACGCTGCCTCCCCCTCTTCCTTGTCTACAATAATTCTTGCCGGTGAATCTTGATTATTTTATTTTTAAAATTTAATATTATTATTCCGATCTAATTTGTTAATATAATTTATTGACATAATCTATTAATACTATTGGATTGGCTATGGATCTTAAAATATATTGGGATCTATTGTCAATTCAATGATTATGAATTACTAGATCAATAAATTATGTTCAAATAATATTACTCGTTATAATTTTTAATAATCATGAAATTAATAAATATAAAACATGTCACATGATGGGTTTCCATTGAACGATAATAGGAGTTATGATGTTAAAAAAGTAATTTTTTTATAACATAATCTAATTTTCAGTATGAAAATATATGAAAAAAGTTGTTCTCACTATAAGTAATGTTATTTCAACTTAACAATTTGATCTAATGATATGTCCCAATTAAAAAAATTCAACAATTAGAGCTATGGTAATTGTGTTGGACCATATTACTGCACATCTTAACAAATTAAGTCATATTTTTTTTTCCTAATAACATTATAGTCCCCCATTATATATCCTAGCAACAAAGTGTCATAAAATTTCAAATAAATGTCCTTGATACTGAATAATCAATGATCGAGATTGCTATAACTAAAATTGACACGATCATTCTGACTATAAATATTTTTATCACCAAGAAGGTGATGAATTCATTGGGAGAAGGTTTTAAAAAAATTTCAATCTATTGTTTGAAAGAAATGAAAGTTACAAGAAAATTTGTTTAGCTGTTTAAATTATCTTTAATTATATTAAATCGATTTTAACAGTTTAAAAATATGTATGACTGCTTAATGTCTATCATATTCTAACCTTAATTATTAGAGTTGTTCAAGACTTCAAGTGTATGAAAGCTGCCAGAGTTTGTAGGTAGGAAGCTAAAGTACTAGTCTTACTTACTTTACATAATTGTCCATATTTGAGTGTGAATTATTGATGCTTCAAAGATAGAAAAAGATTGTAGCTAGGATTTCAGGATTATTTCTTTGTCTATTAATCTTGAAACTAAGTAATTACAATTGGGTGTTCTACTTTTCCAAGAACAGAGAGAGACAGAGATAGAGAGACACATAAACTCCTCATGAGGATTATTTGTATTTGTTTATTATTTGATTTTGTATGTTTATTATTTCTAATACAGTTGTTACGTTCTTAACAGTGTCTCAAATCAAGGGTTTCACAAGCACTGTTCAAGTACCTAACTTAGAATATTGTTTTATTTATTTTTTGTTATTGTGACAGTATACAGTTAAAACAGTTGTGGAAGATTGTATATTAATGTTTTGACATGTTTTTCTTTACTGGCAATACGTTGAATGAGGTTAGTTGTACATTTGTTGTAATTAGAATATTATATTCCTGTGTATTATTTTGTTGGCCAAACAATTTATGTTGCATTATGTTTTTTTTTACATATCCATGCCAGGTGATAACAATGTTATTGGATTTTTTTTTGTTTCCATTGAATTAGGTAACCGTGGACAACGATTACGATGAATTATGTTTGTTACTTACGTTTATGCATAGGACTATTCGGGAGATGATAGTAGTGTTTAATCTTGTGGTCTCTATAATGTTGATGATATGGGACATGAAACACAATGGTACAATATTCGAGGTTCCACGGCCTTTTAATAGGTCTCGATTACAAACTGAACACTTGCACAGTCTCATTGGGGAGAGTGATAAGACGTGTATAAGTCAACTTAGGTTAGATAGACACACGTTTGTAGTACTATGTAATCTGGTCCGTGATGTTGGGTTGCTAAGACCAACTAGGCATGTAAGTGTCAAGGAGATGATGGCGATGTTCTTAAGTATTTTAGGTCATGATAACAAAAATAGACCAGTTAAGTTCAATTTCTTGCGCTAGGGTGAGACAGTTAGTAGATATTTCAACAATGTCCTGACTACGGTGTTAAGGCTACGCAGGCTATTGCTCCAGACACCTGAACCAGTGCCCGAAAACTGTACAGACCCTAAATGGAAGTGGTTTAAGGTAATCACCTTTTAATCTTCAAGTCAATATTGATTATTACGCCATATAACATGGATTTTTTTATTTCATATATTTTTATAAACTTGTTTACCACTTGCCTTTGTAGAATTGTGTGGGGGCATTAGATGACACGTATGTTCCTGTTTGAGTACCTCTTGTCCATCAAGCTAGATATATAACACGTAAAGGTGGTATAACAACCAATGTGTTGGGTGTATGTGCACCGAATATGAAGTTCATGTATGTGCTTCCTGGATGGGAAGGGTCAGCTGTCGATTCTAGGATATTGCGTGATGCGGTTAATAGACCAAATGGGTTGAAGATAGCACATGGTATGTAGCATATTATATATATTTTTTTTATAATTATGCTCACATTTACATGTGTTTGGTACGTGTAACAAATAAATTCTTATCAAACACAAACATGTACTACCTAGTTGATGCGGGTTATACAAATGGTGATGGATTTTTAGCACCATTTCGGGGTCAGAGATATTATATCCAAGAGTTTGGGGCTACTTCTGCAGCACCCAGAAATCCCAAAGAATTGTTTAATTTGTGCCTTTTTGTTGCAAGGACTAGCATTGAGAGATGTTTTGCTTTGCTAAAAAATAGATGAGCGATTCTTAGGACACCTTGCTATTATCCTGTGCGCACTCATAACCGCATCATAGCTGCATGTTGTTTGTTACATAACTTAGTTAAGAATGAAATGAGCGTTGATCCATTTGAGAAGTATTTACTAGAAGAAATTCTTGTTGATGGTGAACATGCTGATGATATCATAGACATTGTCCAGACATCCACCGAATGGTCTACATTTCGAAATCAGATGGCATTAGATATGTACAATGAGTGGAGAAGCAGTCGTGGACAAACTACCTAATTGGAGTACTTTGTGTTTTATCTTGGTTACTAATTTTATGGCTTTATTAATGTAGACGTTGTG